AGTCAGAGACAAAAGGAAAGATACCCCCACTTCCCACCCTGCCCTCCAAACAAATTCCCTTAAGGGCTGGATGTTTGGAGGTGTTGTGCGTATAAGGAAAGACAATGTGTTAGGAGATTTCAGCCCCATTTCCCCTTGAAGTAGGAGCTAGATATCCTTGTTCAGGGCACAGCCTGTATAGTTATCTTCAGACCCCACTGAGGGACAAGGGATCCATTTCTGGCATACATATATCCAGCAGTGGTATATAAGCTGGTAAGTTCTCAGCTGGAACTTCTGTTGCTTTTTTTTTTTTTTACTTCCCTTTCCTTTCTTTTTTCCTTTTTTCCTCTACTTTTTCCTTTTTCTCTTCTCCTGTTCTACTCTTCCCTGCCCTTCCCTTCCCTTTCCTGCCCTTCCCTGCCCTTCTTTTCCCTTTCTTTTCTACTTTGCTCCTCTTGACTGTTTCTGCCAGGTTCATACAGTCCTCCCTGTTGTCTCTTAAGGAATAAGTTAGGTCAACATTTCTCAAATCACAGTTCCCAGAATAGTCAGTTACAGCCATCTATTAGAAAAGCATGTTCTCAGGCCCCATCCCAGACTGACTAAAGCAGAAATCTGGGGAGGGAGCAGGCTTTAACAAGCTTTTGAGAGATCCTGACTTCTCCAGGCAGGATGGTGGTAACCTCTCCCCCCTACACACTGTACTCTGGGAGTTTTCCTGAAACAGTCATTTCCCAAATGACTGACAGCCAATCAGATGGCCATAACTAGCTCCATGTTGCAGAAGTGGAAACTGAGGCAGAGAGATGTGTAATAATATGCCCAGGCCACACAGCTAGTATATGGCAGGCCAGGAAGAGACTGGAACCGCGAGCTCTTAGCTTCAGAGCCCATGCTGCAACTGCTCTGCCATATGACTTTCTTCTCTTTCTTCCATGCTACTTGATGACTTTGGCTTTAAAATATGTTGTCTTAATCTCCCCCCGCCCCCAATTCATTCACTCATTTATTCATTCCAGATTAGGCTCCTAATCTGTGCCAGACCCATACTGGGCACAGGGGCTCCAAAGAACACCAGGGAGCTCATGGAAGCATCGACTTGGCCATAGGGATCTGCAACAAACCAGGAACAGTCTGGATTAAGGTGGACAGAGGCCAACAGAATAGCTGGGAGTTATAGGGGTAGAGTTTCCTAGTAGGAACATGTGTGTTAGGATTTTTCAGGGTGGGGCTGATTATGGTTCTCCCTGTAACTATTTCTTCATCACTGATTTCTCTAGAAGCAGAGTTTTCATTGTATCACTTGAATGCTAACTTGGCCTCACTTTCTTTACTTGTCAGCTGACCTCTGAAAGGGCAAGGTTTGAGTGATTTCCCTGCATTATGATAATTTGGGAAATAGGAAGTGGTGCATGGTAGCTGACACTTTTGTAGGATCAGATATCCATTCAACCTGGATGACTACTTGGCATTCTTTGCCTCTTGGGAATGGCTGGTGTCTGTTAGGAACATCTTTGGCTGCACGTCACTGAAAACATGACTCTGTGGTTTATTCTCCCTATTTTTGACAAGAGTATAGAGTGGCACTGGGTGCCTTGGTTCAGCAGTTTACGAACACCAGGATTCAGAGTCCCTTGACCTCACCCCTCATGTTTGGGTCTCAGAATCACATGAAGCCCCCTGGCACTAGGCCACATATTTGTGTTCAAGGCAGGATGGAGGGAAAGGTGTTATGACAGGTAGACCATTTTTTGTAATTTGGGTAAATAAAAAATCTCAGAAGACTCCACAAAATACTTTCTCTTAAGCCTTATTGGTCAAAACTGTATCACATGACCTCAAGGAATTCTGTGAAAATATTGGTTACAACTGGCTCAAACTCAGTGATTTATCATAGAGGCTGGCATGGTTCTGTTGGCAGGGAACAGGAGAGAATGGACAATCTGTAGAAAACTCAACAGTGTGTGCTGTTTTCCTCATCTTCAATGTCATCATCTTCTATGTCACCATCATAACTAATACATAATGCTCCTTGCCATGTGCCTAGAGTGTCTTACAGGTGTCTCCTAGGAAGTTAGTTCTCTTATGATGATCTTAGAGATAAAGGAAGAAGATCACATGGGAAGTTGAGTGACTTGCTCAATGTCACTCAGCTCCCAAGTGGGACAAAGTAGATTTGAATTCAGACTATACTTTGCCAGAACACACATTATTTACCACTTCACTGGGCTGTCCCCAGAGCAATGGGCATCTCTAGGAAGGAGAAGCTCAGTGTCATGGCCTTGAAAACCCAAAGCCCCTCTGCATCCATTTTTGTGGTTTCTCTAGAGCTGTGTCCCCAATAAAGCCCCTGGTGTCTCCAGTGGCTCTGTACAGCTTAATGCTTATTTTATGTCCATTTAGGCTGGAAACTGAGCACTGCTACTATTTTTCACAAAATACCAGCTGTCAAGAAGCAGTTAGTTAGTTGAGTAGTCTTTGCTGAATATTTAGGGTCAATGAAGGACTACTTCAGAGTATACAATCTTCCACCATCTTGCTGGCTCTTAAAGTGTCTCTTTCCCATCTCTGTTGCTTCCTCCCTCCTTCCCAGAATTCCCCAAGAATTCCAAATTCTTTTGCCTCTGTGATGCAAAGTAGTTGGATATTGCCATGGTTTGGGTGTAGTTAGAATGTATCCCAAAGGTTCATGTGTTGGGAGCTTGGCTCTCAGTGTTATGATGTCAGAAATAGGGGCGCTTTAAGAAGCGAGTCCTAGTGAGAGATTGTCAACCATTGGGGAGAGTTAACCCCAGAAGAAATTAAGGTAGTTCTTGCTGGATCCTGTTGAGTACTCACAAGAGCCCCTTTCTGCTCTCTGCCTTTCTGTCATGAGATCCCTCTCTTATGCACACTTCTGCCATGATGCTTTTCACCATGATGAGATACAGTCAAGAAGACCCTCACCAGAACCAAAACCATGCTGTTTGGACTTCTAGCTTCCAAACAGTGAGCTAAAAAGACTTCTTTCCTTTGTAAAGTACCCAGACTCAAGTATTTCTTATACCAATGATAAATGGACTAAGACATACCTCTTCTTCCAAACATGGGTGGCAGGAAGTAGCAGCTGGTGTCAGGTGAATGGGAGCTTATAAGTCATGTATCCTCTGCATTCTTCCTGTTGTCCATCCTTCTGTGGGCTCCCTGGTCTGATCAGGTGCCTAGACTTGCACCTGCTGAGGCTAACTGTTCTCAACTGGCCTTTGGGTCACAGCGTGACCACCCATTGCTGAAGTCCATGGTTTTAGCTGTTTGCCTCTAGTTCTAAAGTCTACTCACGCCAGCCCTTCTCAGTGACTCAATCCCCTGCTGGGCCACTGGAAACTTGCAAATGCCTCGCACATGCATACTAGCCCATTTACCCAGCTGCTCTCTCTGCACAAGCTGTACTGTTGTCCCTGCCCCACTGGACATGGCCTTGTGTAGGGCTACTCTTCAGCTGTGCAGCCTGCTCACCACACCCAGGGAAACATGCCACAAGCTCCCATCCTGCTCCACCCATCTGTGTTCTCAGGATCCTCCTGGATGTTCCCACATGCCCTCCCCAGGTTTCTTGAACTGGAGAGCTAACTTCCTGAGTGGGTGCCCCCTTCATTCCCCCTGCCGCCTCCCCTGCAGAATACCCTCAGTGGGCAGAAAGAGCAGGGTTCTACTTCCCCACCTCCTCTCAGCTCAGGACTCATGCGAAGTTGAATCTTCTTTATGCTGAGTGACCTTTACCTTGTCCCCTCCCCTGAGGGCACAATAGACAGGTACTGTGAGTTGAATGTGTCTCTCAAAATTTCATGTGTTGGAAACTTAATCTCAAAACTTATATGTTAATGTTACTTAAGGGTGGGACCTTTGGGAAGTAATTAAAATTAGATGAGGTCATGAAAGTGGAGTCTCCACATAGACACTAGTGGCTTTATGAGAAGAGGAAGACACACCAACGTGTGTGTGCTTGCTGTGTGTCACCATGTGACACCTCTGCTATGTTTGACATAACACCAGGCCCTCAGCAGATACCAGTACCATGATTTTGGACTTCCCAGTTCTGGACTTCCAGAGCTAAATAACAGCCAAATAAACTTTTAATCTTCTAATCTGTATAAATTACCTGTTATAGCAACAGGTAATGTTTTGTTATAGCAAAAAATGCCCAAGAGACTAGGGTCCAGTCAGTCAATAAGAACAAACCCCAAACTTCCTAATCAATATTAGAAGATCCACAAAATTCTGTTTTCAGTTCTTTTCCAAACTTTTTAAGGTGCTTGGACAGAATAAGGGATCCCTTGTCACTCTCTTGGAAAAGTAGCCAGAGTTGGAAAGTTTCTCTCTGTTATAGTCACATTCAGTGGTGACTATTATAATATGATTATCCACTTATCCAAGAAGAGAGGTAAAATACAAACAATGCAATTAAGAAATGCACTGAATGTCCTCTTCTAGGTCTCCTATTCCTCCTGCACCTCAGTGAGGAGGTCCCTCCCTGTTCCTTATAGGGAGAGAAATTGACCCCTCCCAAACCCCACACCTCATCAAATAAGTGCAACCAAAATAACCATGCAGGACCAATTTGACCTATTCTGACAGAAAAGATAAATTTATCATAGCCTACACCTTTGGCAACGACTTGGCAGTGAAGAGTGCTATTAAATGCTTACAGCCTCTGACCGAGAATTTATCCTACAGAAATCATTCCCAAAAGGAAAAACCATCACATCCAAATTCGTTATAGCAATAGCTATAGTGGCTCCAAATTGGTAACCCAAAATCGAATGACAGTGAAAGGAGAAGGCAAACACAGTACCTGTAAACAGGGAAATATTAAGCAGTCATTAAGAGCAGTGGGAAGATTATGTAGCAACACCAAAAGTGCTTGCAATTTTATGTTCTGTTAAAAAGGCAGAATTTCAAATTGCCTTTGTGTAGTTCTTCCAAACCCTCATGCCTTACATTCACCTGGTCTGCACTTTCCTTTCTGTTTTCCTCTCCAGCCCAGTGCAGACCCCTCCTTACTACTGCACTTAAGGCACACATGGGGATCTGCCTGTGATGATACAGAAGATAGGGAGAAAACATGAAAAAACGAGGTGGATCTGTTGGGCTGTCATGGAGTGAGATGGTGGGAAGGTGGGTTTTTTTTCTTTTTCTTCCCTGTTTTGTTTATCTTTAAATGTTAAGTTGTATTGAAAAGAGAGGAACCTAAGTAGGTTCCAAGTCCTTCTGGGGCTGAGTCCCATAGCCTGAGCATTTTAAAGGGAGGTAAGCCATGTTAGTTAACACTTCTTTCTTTATCTCTTTTTTCTTCACCTTCCTTCCTTCCTAACTTTCTTCCTCCCTTCTTAACTTCTTTCCTTCCTTTCTTCCTTCCTAATTCCTTCCTTCCTAAATTCCTTCCTTCCATAATTTCTTTCCTTCATTCCTAACTCCCTTCTTTCCTTTCTTCCTTCCTAACTTACTTCCTTCCTAGCTTGCTTTCTTTTCTTTCTTTCTTTCCTTCCTTCCTTCCTTTCTTCTTTCCTGAGGATTGATTCCAGGGCTTAATGCAAGCTAGGCAGTGCTCTACCACTTGAGCCACATCCCCCAGTCCAGCTCCTTTCCTGTGTCCCTGTTAGGGCCCAGAGGACACTCCATTCTAGAGACAGAGTTATGTGTAAGACCTGCCCATGGAACAGAAAGAAAGCATTGTGTATGGTGGTCTGCTGGTTAGTCAGGTTTACACAGCACAGGTTTGGTTGCTTGCTCACTCTTGCTGACTTTACTTCAAGCTGCACAGTTGACACTCCTGCACTGGTTTCATCACGGAGGTGTGTGTGATATGTGGCAAGGAGAAGAGGAGGAGCAGATGACAGTGCACCCTGTGGACACAAACGATCATGGAAATCCCAAGATTCGGAAGTCTCAGACTGTCTCTAAATGAATTTAAATAAAATAAAATTCAAGAAGGTATTCATCACACTGTTTGATGTTTGTGTCTTGTCTCATTGCTATACCACTCTGCTTGTGGGTTATGAAGTAATGTTTTTAATAAATCCTATAAATATCTTGTAAATACTGCATATTCATATTGCTTTGTGATTTTTTCAGTGTTGAAAGCAAGAATTTGATAAATGTTTAAAATAAATTTCAGTTTTCTTGAATTTATTTCAGCATATCTTCGTAAAAGTAAACCCCATGAAACTCACAATTTGAAGTGGCCTGGCCCCTTTCACTCCCTGAGAAATCCAGGACCCAACATCTGAGCTTGACTGGGACAGAGACTACCTCATCTTGGAGTCTTCAATGTGCTTGGAGATGGAATCTATTCTTTATCTTTAAAATAAGATAAAAGGGAAAAAGGAGAAAAGAAGACAAAGCAAAATCTAGGTGCTAATCAGGCAAAGGGGAACTTCCATTTTAAAATGGAAATCAACCCTTTTCATTTATATCTGCCTTCCTCCAACCCCACTAAAATTACTCAGAATAAACAAAAAGGGAGAAGTTTAGCAAGACAAAGGCAGTAGGAAAACGTCAGTTAACTTTTTTTTTCAAAAAAATTAACTTTTTTCTCAGAAAAGGGATGGATGAATAGTAATTTCCTTGGTCAACTGGAGATAGCTTTAACCTAAGCCAGGAGAGAGGAGCCAGAGGACCCTAGAGCATCTCAGAAGTTGAAGGCACCAGGCACCCACCCCATTCCCACCAAGTGCGGTGGGGAGTAAGGTTGAAAACAGAAGGAATGGTTGAAGAAGCAGAAGATACCAGTGCTATCATCACCATCACCATCAGCACCATCACCACTATCAACACCATCAATCACCACCACTGCCATCAACACCATTACTAACACTACCACCACCCCCATACCATCACTATCACCATCACGACCACCATCACTGCTACCAACTCCACCATCATCACATCACTGCCATCACTGCTACTAACAGTGCCAACACCATATTACTGCTACCATCACCATTGCTTCATCATTACCATCACTGTTACCAACACCATTGCTGCCAACACCACCATCATCATCACTCCTTCCCCCAACCAGCAAATCCAGCAAATGTCCCTTCTCTATCACAACAAATTACAGAACTTTTTCTTTGCAGGAAGATGATTTAGATAGATACTAGGCACTGTCCAGGATAGGGGCAAAGACTATTTTATAGGACTATCAAATGATAATATCCTTAAATGAGATCCATACTGACTACAGGATGGTCACCCCCAGACAGGACTCTGGAAAGGTCATTTCTAGGGAAGCTGACCAGCCTAAAAGCAAAACTAGTTTGCTACTTTTTCACCAATATTGATGCTCACCAGTCAAAAAGCCCCACCCACAAGCTTCCAAATAGCCTTCCAGGGGCTGGTGAAATGGCTCAGGTGGTAAGAGCACCTGCCTAGCAAGTATGAGGCCCTGAGTTCAAACCCCAGTGCCACCAAAAAAAAAAAAAAAATAGCCTTCCAACTCTTAGCACACCAGCTAAAGTCACTAGATACTCAAGCAAAGCCTCTGGAACAAGCAACAAAAATGACAACAACAAAACAGATAAAAGCAGCCCAAAGGTGACAGAGACAATGCTGAGGACAGAAGAAAACCACCAAGGAGCAGGATGACCAGCTGTAATATGCTAAGAGAAGAGTGAATATGAGGTCCCTCAGATAAGAGGCTATAAAATAAGAGATCAGAGACCAAGAAAGAGCTCTTGTGACAAAAGAGAACAAAAAGAGACTCTGAAATCCCTTTGCTCTGCCTGAGTCTAGGCAGGAAGACATGTTGGCAAAAAGGAACTCTCAGTGGACACAGAGTATCTCATTTCCATCCATCTATGGTAGAGACACATTTGAAAACTGGTAAATTTGGCTACCAATTTAGGCCCTAGTATTCATTGTGCATTTAACCTCCACAACAATCCTGCCATGTTTGAATTGTTATCCTCATCTTCACATAGTATCTTAAGAAGATACCTTATTAGATTGAACCATATGAAATAGTTACAGAACTCAGAAATAGCAGAATTCCTGCAATTCAATGATTCAACCTAATACATGGCCCAAGGTTGCTCTGCAATTTTTTTGGCTAAAGATATCAAATATTATAAGTCATCATCTGGGGCCTTGAGTGTGCTGCATTTTCACATTACCCTTGAGTCTAAAAGGAAAATAATAGAGATTGTCACAGTGGCTATTGGAGCCCTCTCTCCTATGTGGGCTGTGGTCAATCTACAGCAAAACCATACAGCAATGGTAAGTGTGTGTGTGTGTGTGTGTGTGTGTGTGTGTGTGCTTGGTGAAGAATCAAATTATATCCCCCTAAATGACAAAGAAACAGTATGAGCATTTGTGGGAGTGTGGGTTGAGAACAGAAATCCCATTGTTGGTTCACTTTGTTAGGCTAACTATGTAGGAGTAGCTCTTTATAGAAAAGAAGAATTTCTTAGGTTCCAATAAGGAACTTAAAAAATGACTGTTCTTATAAATGCTGGCTTACTCACTTTCTCCCTGCCCAGTTAGACAAAATCTTTGAGTGGTACAGACTCAGTCATAATTTCTTTGGTCATTCACCTTAGAGAATAATAATCACTTACAATATCAAGAATGGTCTCATTTCCACAGTAAATTTCCAGTCTTGCTGGGCATGGTCATGCACCCCTATAATTCCAGATATGTGGCAGAGGGTGGACGAGGGAGGTAGGAAGATCAAAGTCTGAGGTCCACCTCCGGCAAAAGGGTGCCTGCCTTAACAAGTGCAAGGCCCTGGTTTAAAACCCCGGTGCAGAAAAAAGAAGGAAGGGAGGAAGGAGGAAAGGGAGAGGGAGGGAGGGAGAGAAATTCCAGTCTGGGTAACCAGAGAAACTGCCAGTCATATTGAATGTGAGGTCATGACTCACATCTTCTCCCAAAGAAAAACACCCACTGTTTAAATGTGATAGAAGAGGGACATTTTCCTGGATTTACTGTTTGGGAGGAGTGGTGATGGTGGTGGTGATGATAGTGGTGGTGGTGGTGGGGGGAGCTGGGGCTGAGTAGTATGGGGCTGCTGAGACCCACATGGGAAAGGAGAGAGGGGTCCTTTTACTCTCCTGACTCCTTTGGGTAGAGTGGAGGGTGGGGTTGAGGAGAGTGGACCTCCCTGATGCCCATGGAACCTGGGCTTCCTCAGAAGTTGAGGCCTAACTGTGTTTTGGGTACTCTGTGGGTTCTCATAGACCCCTGGCATTGGGGATCTCCCAGCTGCACTTCCTGGAAGGCAGGAATTCTTTCTTCTGTCTGGCTGTATACCAGTTCCTTCACCCTATACATGCTCCATCTTGGGATCATTGCACCTGGGTGGCCTCTTGGGGCAAATGCAGCCAGGTGTGTCTTGTGCATGGCCCACATTCGCAGGAAAGTTGGTCAGGCACTCTCTGCTCAGCCAAAAAACAAGCAGAGCTCCTGAGCAGCTGAAATGGTCTCTGATGGTGCATTCATGACACTCATGTGCACAACCTGTGTGCACTCTACGGTCAGCCCATGGAGTGCTGATCATTTCCAGCTCAGCACCTATCTCCTGCCAGGCTGAGCAGCCGGCTGGCACAGTCTCTTGTGGGTAGAGCTTTTGGGTGGGTGCAATCCCCAACCCTATATATTTCCCCCAGACTCCAGGGACACAGGTCAAGCTCTCTGGGATATCCTTTATAGATCTCCAGCTACAGGCTTAAAATGAAAAGGACCTGCTTCCGTATCATGCCCCAAGATGAGACCAAGAAAAAATCAACAGCATTCCACTAATTTTTCCCTAGAGCTCTTCCTTCTCCAACCTCTTCCATCTGTTTTCTTCAGCATAATGTCCTCAGGTTTCATCCATGTTGTAGTATGGGTCAGAACTTCCCTTCTTTTTAAGACAGGAAACCTTGCATTGTATATATAGACCACATTTTGTGGATCCATTCATCTGCTAGTGGACACTTGGGCTCTTTCCATCTCTTGGCTATTGAGAATAACACTGCTATGGACTTGGATGTGTAAGTAAGTGTTCCTTTGGACCATGCCATCACACTTTCATACCCTGTGTGTAGGGTTTGGGGCTCAGGGTTGAAAAGCTAGGTTTGGCTAGCTTTCATCCTGTGTGGATGAAGTAGCATCTAACCTTAATGACTATGCTGTGGTTTAGTTTAGGCTTCTCAGGATCTCTGCAAAGTTACCATGGAAAAGGTCCCAATTTCACTTGTTGCTATGTAAACCTGCTAAATTTGTTGTAGGAGCTTGGTGGTTGTGGATAATGCGGGATTTGTGTGTGGGCCTACGGTGCCTGCAAAGTATGTAGGGCCAGCATCTGTGTGTGCATCTGTGTGTGCAAATGATCTCTGCGGGTCCATGCATGACACACGTGCGTGGTTGTGTTTGCATATATGTGTGAACAAGTGCTGAATGTGCACACACACAGCTCATCTGTAAACACCAAACCATCAGTTTCCTCCATGACTCCACTCACTCTTGTACACCAGGCCCCCTCCGCAGCCTCGCAGGCCTCTGCTAAGTTGTGGGAAGCAGCAGGTGCCAAGGCCAGAACATGGGCCCTCGTCAGCCAAGGCGGGGAGCGGTTCCCGGGCTGTGAAGGAGCAGACAGATGGTGAAGGAAATGTGATTGCAGCAGCCCCTCTGTAGAGTCAGGCATTGACTGTCCCCCCTCCCCACTGCGTAGACCTGGAACAATGATTTGGCCGTAAAACCAAAAGCCTCCCTCCTGACTTTGCCTCATAGCTGAATGCAAGGGGGTGTGCAAGAGATTCCTGCCAAGACTGTGGCATTGTGAATCAGGACTTTCCCCATCCTTGCACAAGACGCACGAGCGGCCCATGAAAGGCTTCAGTGCCCACTTTGTGACTCACTCACTCTCCTGTCTGTTGTCAC